TGAGGTTTAGCTTTGGCTTGTCCTTTAACAGCACAAAATTAATGTAGAAAGAGTTAGGCAGTTAGAAAGTTTATATTTCTTTCTTTTTTTTCAGAGAAGATAGGGTACAGGAGGACTGGGGAAAAGGAGAATGATGTGGCAAGGGGATAATGCAAATTTCACAATATTTTGAGGTCACCTAGCAAAAGGTTAACAAAAGCAAAACTATTCAAACACTCCCACCCATCAGAGGGGTAGGAGTGATGCCTGCCTAGTTCCTTCTTTAATTCTCTTAATCTTTCGGACATTTCCAGTTACTCTTTTCTGGGACACCAGAAAGTATACCACTTCCGACACTAATGCATAGAAGTTTTGAAGGGTTTCCAGCTAGTCAAAACACTTCCATCTAAAAGGACCTTTAACACCATCACCATTTCCAGACCTTTATTCTCACATTTTACTCAAAAAAAGGAAACTTCATCCCTTGCTCTGCATCGCCCACACTTCCATCCTCATCCTCCGAGAGGCAGAAGCCATTCTCCGCGTGCCTGACCTGCACTGCGTCCCTACATCACGACTCACACCCTCACACCCACAGCATCAGCAGCCCAGGCCTTTTCTCGTCTTTCTTGTTAACTTACTTAGGGAGTAAATGTGCATTATGGTAAGTAACTGATGAAAATACAAATGAGAAAAAAGGCTCTGTTAACTTCCACGCCGCTGCCTACCGGGGACATCATCCTTGATTACATCTGACATCTACAGATGTAGCTGCCTGAAACACTGGTAGACCTGTGCTTGCTTCTGCCCACAAGACAAGGCGATTAGTCCCTCAGTGACGCCATTCTCTTTTTAGAAAATGACCTTTCACTACTCAGATCCTAGGGATCTGGGCTGTGTTTGATCGCTCATGTTTGAACTGGAGGTCAATGTAAAGCATATTCTCCTCTGTTGTACAGATAACATCTCAATTCTCAGAGATAATTGCAGTTTATAGTCGAGTGGTCAGACCTCTTTCTCCAAGACAGCGGTCCTTCATGCACCAAAGCTACCAATAAATTTAAAGCGAAAGTAAGGAATTAAAATTTCCTTATTATTTTATTCATCTACTCAAGCTGAACATTTATGCTCATCTGAGCTTCAGAAGTAGGAAAGCTATTTAACTTGTGTAAGTTTTGTTCAAAATGACCAAATGAAGAAATCTGAAAAGGGAAAGACTTAACGCTGTTAACCTCTCATTTCATTTTTGCATTCCAAAACATAAAAATCAGTAAGAAAAAGTCATGGTCTCCTCCTATTTTAATCCAAAAGACACTTCCAGTACAGTACATAACATACAGAGAAAGGTCTGCAGTATTTATGCAAGATGAAATAGAAAATGTAAACAATCAACTTTAAATTTTTTTTTTATTTCAGTATTAAAATTCTCCTGCATGTAATAAAATACTTATTTCAGGTCTGCTACATTTAGCCTGTCACTATTACTTTGAAGAGCTGCCCTATGAAACACCTTGAATGTGCCAGGACTTTGATGGTTAAGACACCTCCCTTGTACACCGGAGACCCCAATTCAGGTCTTTGTTCCAAACACAATAACAAAAGAACCTGAACCCACACCTTCCAGGCTCCAGGCAAGTGTGTAACTGTTGGGCTATTAATTGCATTGTATTATTATTAGATTTTTTATTAATTAATTAGCTCTACCTCTTCTTTCCAGATTTCATTAACAAACAAAACTCTAAAGTCCTGATGATTTCCATCATTTTCCCATTTTCCTGCACATGCGACGGCCACCAGCCTGTCCCTGCTTTACAGTTCCATCTACTGTAATTTCAGCACACCTGTGTACCAATCACCTGAAACACCAGGGACTCGGTTAAGATATTTCCACATTTCTAAAATTTCAGAGCCTATAAGCACTAATGAAAGCCCTGCAGCTGAATGCCTCAGACGCAACATTTATTATGCTGGTGTTTTCTGATCGTAGTTATTTTGGATACAGTGCCTCACAAAGATTTTCATTCTTATTCACTGAGATCCTTAAAAACAGGTAAGATGGGATGAGCGTTGTTTCATTTTGTGATCAAAGTGAAGTACACTTATCCATGTTACCAGCTCTTTTGCAGACACTTTTTCAGAGCTCTTATGGAGATACTCATATGCCCTGTTAATAAGGATTCTGCAGTATGAGAAACTTCTGTCTCACAATCACTTACATGTTGTCCTGGGTTTAGTGGGATACTGCAAAATTTAATGTTACCCTTTTACCTTGGCATCTGAAGTAAAGTGGGTAACATTCTCAGCTCCACTAAGGTTTTAAAACAAAATAAATAGCAAGCTTCATTTCCATAGCATTTTTCTACTTCAGAACAACAGCTGAAAGTTTTTTGTAAAGAGGGTGTATGTAGCAATAAGAAACTGAAGATCATATTAAACTCCTTATTTCTCCCATGCTTTTTTGTAAACGTCATCTGATTAATTCAAGTTGACCTCTCACAATTGGATACAAAAAATAATCTGTGAAGACAATCAGCAAGCTGCAAAGGCAGATGGATGTTCTCATCAGAGAAGACAGTCGACCCAACAAGTCCTGCCAGGAGAAGAACAGAGGAGGAATTTACCTCTGGGGAACAAGCAACTCCATCAGCGCAGTCCTAGACAGAAGACTGGAAGGGGCTTATAAAGAGGCAGGAGAATGTCAAATGCCTGGACTCTCACTTCTCAGAGAATATGACTTAGAGATCAAACTGTGCTGAAGAGGAAGAGAGACTGGGCATTCCCCTCGTTACAACAACAAATATTTAGTAAGATCTCCAAGAAAAGGTTTTAGCGCTCTTCCTGTCCCATGTGGACAAATGGCCCAATAAACCACCTCAGATTAAAAGGGAAACTTAAACTTGTCCTCAGAACTGCAGCAATAGTGACAGAGATGTTTATCATACTATCAAATTTAGACTCTAGGTTCGTTTTCTACTTCATTCTCTAATGCTGCTAATGCAGCAGCTCAGCCTGCATGTCTGAAAACATGCAAAAACGTAATATGATAATTTATCTTTTCACAACAAAATACAGGAACAATGAACAATTTTAGAAGACACTTTTGCAAATGAACATATTTCCTATCATCTTAAGTATCCTGTGCTCACAACTGATGTCACAATTAGTCTTAAGAAGGCATTAAAGATGTTTATTCATTCTCTTTTCCACTTTGCTAGGGAAAAAATATCCATCCCTCCAAGGAACGATGATCTTGCAGTTACAGAAAAGGGGAGCTCAACTCAAGCTTCAGGTTGATTATCTGCATGAAGCCACACAAAAAGGCACTTAAATCCTGTACCTTAGCTGCCTGAATTGTAAAATGGAAATGCTAACATATAGTTTGAGCAGGAGGCTGGGCTAGGTGACTTCCTGAGGTCCCTGCTGACCTGAATTTTCTGATGATCCTACTTGCTTTGAGACACATAAGCATGAATGAGGTCACTCAGCCATTATGGGGTTGATTACTGGTGAAAATGTCAAATAAGGACTCTAACATTTTCAAGTTTTTAATGCATACCTTTTTACTAGATATACGTGGGGGAAAAAAATCTTGTCAAAATGCTCATGAACTTTGCAGTTTTCACAAGTGTCATCTATGAGAGCCAGAGGAAAATGACAGTCATCCTATTCTGGATGATGTGGCAGAACCTGCTGGTTTATGTTGGATTTTAGAAAGCAAACCAAAAAACAACAAAACATCAGTTTAACTACATATTTTTTAAGTGGCACTACAAACTCTGAAGGCATTTCACTGAATAGTATGTGCAAATGAATTTATCAGGCAGGTTAAGAAAAAAATCTTTGCAGATAGACTGATGCCAACACGAGATCACAAACAACAAAAAGAAAAAAGAAAAGGCACTTGTCATCTTGCAACACAGAATACCCAATTTGTTGCCAGTTTTTCACCACTGATACAAGTGAGTCTGTTTAGCATTACTGGATATGTTTCTTTTATACTAACGTTCAGCATTTCCTAGAGGAGTCATTTCATTTCTCACTCAAAGCAGTGAAGTCCTTCTCCAAAGTTCAAGGTTCTAGACTCCGTATTTTCGAGCCCCTTCTCTTTAAATCACTAGCCAGTATGAAATTCGCAGTTTCTCCTTCTCTTACTATTATTCCACTTTAATATCAGGAAGGAAAAAAAAACAGACAAATCTTGAATTTCTTGCTGTGATATATGTCGAGTCTCAGATTAAAGAACAATTATTTTTCTCAAAATAATTCCCTATAAAGAGTTTATAATTAAAAGTGTAACTGCCCAGATGTGAATGCTGAAGACACAAACATTTATGTGCATTCACAACAGATCTTCAAGGAATAACAAGTTAAAAAGCAATACCAAAATCCCAAAATCCCCAATTTTGCACAAATTTGATTTCTCTACATTGGCCTTTCCTCACTACTTTTTTCTATTAATTCATTTCATAGACCACATTATGACCAAGCTGTATACCTATACAGGGATATAACAGAACATAAGATACTACATCCTCATTATGCAGCGTAAGTCACTGCACACTCCCATGAGTATAAAGTGGCTGCAAGTATGACAGTAAAAAATAAATAATAATAATAATTTAAAAAATTGCAAGCAGGTAAGATGATTCTATGTCTAATTTAGAAGATTACTTCTCGGGCTGAAGCTGGGTCAACATTCTTTTCCTGTTAAGATACATCCTCTTCTGGGAGTACCTCAGCTGCAGCACATTATAAAAGCAAAAACATTGCAAAAGCAATACAAAGTCCTACACTGCAGATGGTCTCAGTTTCTGCTACTAGTGTTTTCAATTTTCTACCAGATCTCTCAAGTACTGAAGTTGTGATTGACTTTGGACTGCTTGGACACGAATACTAGTCTTATCAGTTCATTGTACTGCTTACCAAACTTGCCTCTAATATGCCATTAAAAAAAAAAAAAAAAAAAGAGGGGGAAAAAAGCTTAAAACAAAACACAACAAAAAAACTCCAACTTTCCTTACCTTGCTGGAGGCACATCAATATTTGAAGAAACAACCTTGCGCTTCTGTTCCAGAAGACAAACAGAACGAGTGTTTTCTTTTTCATACTCATGAGCTCTGTTTGGTTTTTTGGTCTCTGCTGTTTTTAAATCTTCCTCCTTTGTGGTGAACAGGAGAAACTGTTGGTCTGGCAGTTTTTGACTGATGTCACTTTTTACATCCTCCTGTTGAAATGCAGGGAAGGTCATTTCACGCTTGATGCTGGCTGCCTGTAAAATTAAAAGCAATTATTAAATTTTCGTCTAGTGCTCCTAAAATGTAGGGGGGAAAACCCCCAATACCCACAGGCATTTACTTCTAATTAGCTCTTTCAATCAGAGCATACCACTTCTTTGTCCTTCATAAATTCTGAAACTGCCATTAATTTCTCAACAGTGTTGAAGACTATCCAGGAAAATACGCAATTCTTGTCCATTTGATAAAGCAGTTACCTCTTAATGCTAAATCAAAAAGGCATCTGAATTGGGTATCAGAAACCACAGTATATACAACGTATATTCAACGTACACATACTTGTGCTGCATAACTATGCAAAAGAAACCCTAGCTGCCCTCCTCCTAAAATTCCAGGAAAAAAGGCAGAATTTATCCAGATAAAAGACAATCAAGAAATTAAGGCGCTTCTGACAGCCACTTACTGTCTGTATTTGTAACTGAGGGTTTCTCTAGGAGCAGAAAAATAATTTGCTGCAATCCAACTCAGCTGCCAGAAGGCAAAGGGGAGCAAGCGATGCCAGCAGGATCTCCATGAGGAGCCCGGCCAGCTCCACCACTGACAGCCAGCGTTGAGGAGCACGGACACACACAGAAGCAGTGTCAGGTTGTCTCTGGCTGCCACTGCTTTCCCAGATCTTCAGGTCTGCTGCTTCCCATAAGCAAAGACTTCCCAAGCAAGTAGGTATCTTGCTATCAAATACGCTACCTCGCTGGAATACAACATGTTGGTGTTTATAAAGAGAACTATCGCAGAGTTGCAGTGAAGAGCATGGAAAGCCAGCAGAACCAAGCCACTCTGCCTTCCCAGCAAGCAAAACCAAGTCCAGGATCTCGATTTTCCTCTGCAATACCATTCCCTGGCCAGGTAGGCTTCCTGAGCTTCACAGGGGCAGACCTATCTCGCAGGCTGTCACGAGCCTCTCGTCCTGCCGTACATCAGCCAAGCTCCTCCAGCCCCTCAGCCTGCTAGCTTCCTCATGTCCCTGCGAACACAGAGCCTACCAGAAACATCTGCTAATGGAGTTATTTCTGGACAGCTGTGCTTTTAAGATCACGAGCTTCAACTGCTAACTTGCCGTAAGTCCCGGAGATGCACCGGGGAGGCAACCCCTCCACTCAACCCAAACCACCAAGCAAAACACGGCCCAACAAAATGGCTGCTTGTCCCGCCTTGAGCAGAGGTACTTCCACACCACACGCACCACCTCAGAGAAATACAGATGCCTTCTGGGACTTGCAAACTGGATTTTTAGGTACTTGTAAATTATTGCTGATCTTTACAGTGGAAAAATCCAGGATGTGTCACCCTCAGATAGTAACAGCACCAATAAGCTGAAATTCCTTGTGAACTCTTCCCCCTTACTCCTCCTCCTTTTCATTGTCCAAAAAAATTAACCAATGTATACGTGTATGTATTTATGCATAAAAATATATAAAAATATATTCCTCTCCCCACAAATCTCCCTGTTTATAGCTTTCAAACCTGGGCAGGTATAAAAACGGTGCAAGCAATTTTAAGTTCACAGGAAAGACAATCTTGCCAAGGTAATTTTGTTTTGTTCAGTAAAGTATATAACATCGCTAACGCATAAATACTTGGGACCAATGATTTAATTGTCTCATTCTAGTGTTTCCACAGAAGGGCTTTTAGTAGTTGCTTCAAGAACAAAACTAGAATTGTTACTTTATGAATGTAAATAGTAGAAAGAATTAGTCATTTTACACTTCTTCACACACAAACAGATGACACATTACCAAGAAAATCTGCCTGGAAGACAAAACAGTCAGCATGTGACCACATAGTATTAGGAGAAGACATATAAATAACATAAATTTAATTCTGATTTCATGATTATTTTTTAAAAAACTTCTTAGATTTACAGTAAGCCCTTTTTTGAGTGTCTGAGGATCTTAACAGATGCTGAGATGCCTTCAATTTTCATCAAAATTGACTTAGAAGTGATGTACTAAAGCAAAAAAAAAAAAAAAAAAAGCCTGAAAACAGCCGAATCCAATATCCAGCCCCTAGAAATTATATAATGTCAAATGAAGGTTCGTATAAGACTTGCATTCCATCCCCTCCATTGCACATGGTCTTCCACTGTATGACCACATACCTTTTCCTCCCTCCCCAGGATTCCCGCCTTACCCAGTGCAGAGGACGGTGCTGTGCAGGGCACAAGCTGCTAAACTCGCTGTGCATGGTAGGGTGCTGGTGTGCACACGTACAAGGCAGGACCCAGCAGTTTCATCCTTGCTCTGCGCAACCCTTCGTGGAGAAAGCACCAAGAGCATGGGAGAGGGGCAGCCTCCCCTCCTTCCCTACTCTCCAATGCCAGACTGAACATGGTATTCATTGGGATTATTTTTTTTTAACCTAATAAATCCGTGATTTTACCAAAGGGAAAAAAAAAAAATTCCTCTATTTATGGAACTGTAATGTTTTACTCAGTTTCAGCAAACATATTGTGCCATACATTATTAAGTTTTCTTTACAGACTTAAATAGTGATGACAAAAGGTTGCAGACTCAGACTGCAGTTGTACAGATAAAGCCTAAAACATAAAAAGCAGAATATTTGTACCGTGATACCAGATAGTCTATTCATATCTATCAAAATTATTCAAACCTAGTTGAAATATATTCAAATAATGGTTTGGTTTTCATATGTCAATGCGCCATAATTAATAGCTAGCCCCCTGCAAGCGAATGGAAGTGAGGAATGACAAAAACCACAGAAGCGAGTGCTCAGAAGGTTGCAGAGCTGCTGCCAAGAAGTTCAGGTCCTTTGTCTAACTGGCCAGAAATAGCCAAATCCAATGCTTATACTAACCCTCTTCCTCAGTTTTCAACAAATGTTTGGAAACATTAACTTCTTTCTAAAACTTTCCCTTCAGAGCAACTGCAGATAAAGAATCTTTTCTGCTTTAAAAGCAGGTGATCATGAGAGAAACCCAAGAGTTTCCCTCGGTGGCCACTTTCCAGTAGCTTTCTCCTGCTCCACAAGCAGTTTTTCTATTTTAATTCATCCATGTCTACAAGAGCCATTTCCACTTGAGACACCTGCCCTATCTGGAAGGGTACGAGGTCTTTTGCTGGAAATCCAACCACCTACGCAAGCAGCCGTTGGTGTGGGGAGCGCCAAGGGCCACAGTCACATGACAGATCAGGTTCCTCGCTTTGTGGCTTTGATTACCCACCAGGACCCCTCTGCTTTCAAGCTCTCCTTCACCATCACTCACAGTTCGGAGACAACACCGACAATTTCCAATATATCTTTCCACATATCTTTCCGCATCAGTTAACTGTTCTGTCATATCTTATCAGGAACTTTTTTTTCTTTTTCATAGATCCTTCATATCCTTTTAACCACTTTGAGGCTTGTGGTGCTCCTCTAAGTCCATAACATGTTTCAGCAAAAATTTCGTGGATGGTCTAGTCCAAGCAGATGCAGCCTGTCTCACAGACAGCCAGATGTTAACACCGTAACATCAATTTATTTCAGCTTACTTCCAATACTTCTCATTTCTCTCTCCTTAGTTGTTCTCAAACTCCACGATTATGCTGTTCCCTAATGGTTTGGCTTTTCTTGTCATCACACCTCCGTATTTGCCACCTTATTGCCTCCAGTATCAACTGCTGATAAAAACTTAAACAGTTTTTTCCATACACGTGATTAATTATCGTTCATACAAGCCATTTTATGATAGGCTAACTGTTTTCTATGCAATTCATTGCTTATTTTCACCCTTAAGCCATTAGCAACCTTCAGCTTACTTTCAACTGAGTCCATTGCAACCTGGCCTCAGGCAACCGATATCACTTGGAAGTTCAGTCACAGAAACAGGATTTATAAACCATCTGCAAATTCCAAAAACTAGCTTTGTTTCTGTCTGCAGTTACCCTCATCTGCCTTTTACAACTTCCCTCCCATCACCATTGGGCAAGGGAAACTTTTGATATGCCGCCACTTGAAAACAGTGTTTTTTTGCCGCTCAGTATTACCTGCACCTTCTTCCCTGGAGCTCATGCTTGGGGTCTGATCTGGCTTTACTCCTTCCACTGCTTCGCAGCAAGTACTGGCCTTCCCACTCACTCTCCTCCGAGTTTTCAACACCTAATAGCACGACCATTACAGTGAACTTCTTTTGAAGAAAGGCATGAGCTGGGTCACAGAGTGGTCTTCCCTTGCTCTTTTCAAAACATTCTTGCTCACCAAGTGCAGCAGCACGGTGCTGTGGCAGCCCTGCTCTGGCAGACCGAGACAGGCACCGCTTCAACCAGGAAGTTTGGTAATCTTTCTGCAAAAACTGAAAGTAATTTCTTGCTTTGGTTTCTAAGCAGAAACTTTATTGAACAAAAAATGGAAAGCGTTTTAGCTTCTGTTTTGATGTTGTCAAGACAATAGTATATATTTAGGTTGAAGGTTTTACTTTTAAGATTAACATTCTTGCTTGACTCATTATTATTAAAGTGACGACATTTAATACTCCACGCGACAACTAAATGATTACCACAGTTAATATTTTCAGCAGTATATGAATAACTTTTCATTGCAAAAGCCATCTTAACCTGCCTATAGAAACTTGTATTTGGTGGTATCTTGTCATAATCAAGTTGCTAGTCCTGAACTCCACATGTCCCAATGAAGACTATGCGTTGCAATGGAAGTCCTGCCCGAATTAAAGCATGCTCAACATTGACACAAATTTTGAGAAATTCAGAGAAATTTTTCTTTATTCTTTACAGAGGATGTGCAGACTGCAATTTCTCAGGAGTTTAGGCCTTAACTTATCTGCATTCAATTTTTGTTATGCCCAAAAGCACATCCTGATAAGGTGCTCACATTGCAGTCAAACTTCAGTCTTCTCCAATTTCAGTTAAATTTCATCTTGGATTTTGCCCTGAACATCAAAAAAAATTATTGATCAAACAGCTCAAGTATTGAACCGCGTAGTCAAAGGATCAGCAAACACTAGA